CAGAGGTGTGACTGGTACAGGCAAGGAGTGTGTGAAACCGAGCTGACATTTGTGGGCCAATGTGAAGATTTAATGTTTGTCAGAACACATGGGCCTGCCCTGGCCAGGTAGCTCAGCTGGTTAGAGCATCGTCCAGATGCACCAAGATCCCAGGTTCCATTCCCGGTCACGGCACCAAAGCAGCAACCAATAAGTGGAACAACAAATTGATGTTTTTCTGTCTCTTCTTCTTCCCCCCTCTCTCAAATCAACCAATAAAAATAAAAAAAATTTGCTGAAACCGGTTTGGCTCAGTGAATAGAACGTCGGCTTGCAGACTGAGGGGTCCTAGATTCAATTCCAGTCAAGGGCATGTACATTGGTTGTGGGCACATCCCCAGTGGGGGGTGTGCGGGAGGCGGCTGGTCGATGTTTATCTCTTATCGATGTTTCTAGCTCTCTTTCTCTCTCCCCCTTCCTCTCTGTGAAAAATCAATAAAATATATATATTTTTTAAATAAAAAAATAAATTTTTTTTTAAAAGCACACAAAAAACGCACACCCATGGGCTATGGCTCAGTTGGTTGGAGTGTCGTCCTGTGCACCAAAGGGTCACGGGTTCTATTCTCGATCAGGACACATATCCGGTTTCAGGTTCAATCCCCAATCAGGGCATGTGCAGGAGGTAACTGATTAATGTTTCTCTCTCTCCCTCGCTCTCTTTCTAAAATCAATAAAAACAGCCAAAACTGGTTTGGCTCAGTGGATAGAGCGTCGGTCTTTGCACTGAAGGGTCCCAGGTTTGATTCTGGTCAAGGGCATGTACCTTGGTTGTGGGCACAATCCCTTGTAGGGGGTGTGCAGGAGGCAGCTGATCAATGTTTTTGGCTCTCTGTTCCTCTCTGTAAAATATCAATAAAATATATATATTTAAAAATGGGACTTGAGGTCTGGTGCGGCCAGGCCCGGAGCAGCGGCTGCCAGGCTGGGAGTGGCCAGGCCCGGAGCAGCCGGGTCGGGTGCTGCCAGGCCCGGAGCAACGGCTGCCAGGCTGGGTGCGGCCAGGCCCGAAGCAGCCAGGTCTGGTGCGGCCAGGCCCGGAGCAGCGGCTGCCAGGCTGGGTGCGGCCAGGCCCGGAGCAGCTGGGTTGGGTGCGGCCAGGCCCGGAGCAGCAGCTGCCAGGCTGGGAGCGGCCAGGCCTGGAGCGGCCGGGCCCGGAGCAGCAGCAGCCAAGTCCAGAGCAACTAGGTTGGGAGTGGCAGTGTCCAGACCCGGAGCAGCTGGTTGTGGAACGAACCAGAGCAACAGAGGCCAGGCCCGGAGCAGCCAGGCCCGGAACAGCTCGCTCATCGCCTGCCCCTGCCCCACGGCTGCCTCTCAGACATGGCTGGAAACTTTTGCGGGAACTTGAGGGTCTGCTGAATCAAGTGATGAAGGCTTAGATCTGGATGTGTTGAGTTAGTATAGCGCTGGGGTGTTGATCTGTGAGTGCCTTGGGTGGGGCCTGGATGAGGCTGGTTGACCTATTTGGAAATGTCTTTTGTGTGAAATGTATCATTGGGCATGTGGTGGTATTATTGATATGAGAAAATGCTAAGTAACTGATTTACTATCTGAAAAGGGATTTACTATCGGGGAAAGGGAGGGAGGAAGAGACTGAACATAAACTGTGCACCTATGGATGAGGACAATGGGGGATGGGGAGGGGGTGGAAGGTGGGGTGGGAACCTGGTGGAGGGGGGAAGAAATTAGGAACCTTTGTAATAATTTGAACAATAAAGATTGATTTTAAAAAAAAATGGGACTTGGAAAGGACCTTATAAACTACCTGTGTATCGTAAAACATTCTCATTATCCTCCCTCTTCTTTCCTTTATGAGTTGCCACCAGCAGCATTTACTGGCCAGAATTCCAAGGCTATAGACATCTTTCTTAACAAACTCCTATTTGAAAGATGAAATAAAGAAGGGCAGAGACTGGGATTCCAGGACACAGGCTTTATTGAAGATTACTACTGCCGGCTGCTTCCAGAGAAAGAGAGCGGAAGAGAACGAGGGCGGGTGTGTGTGTGTGTGTGTGTGTGTGTGTGTGTGTGTACAAGCACTTTTTAAGGGGAGGACAAGGGACAGGGCTTAGGGCACTCAGCACACGCTGATTGGTGGTTTCATATAAGGCCCATGATTAAGGACCTAGGGACTTAGGAATTGGGGGCTTAGGGTATTTGGCAGGTGCTGATTGTCCGGCTGCAGGTGGAGTTTATGTCTGTCCATCAGTTGGACGAAGGGAGAATCTATCACTATTTACTTAGGAAATAAATGTTCCCTTTACCTAAACATATTAACACGTAAGCTAGTGTTTAAAGGGTTAGCAAAGTTATATAAGTGAATCCACAATTATTCAAGCTACTGAAGATCTATAGTACTGTATAATTCAAAAAATAGTTCTGTTGGATTTTTAAAAAATATATATATATTTTATTGATTTTGTACAGAGAGGAAGGGAGATAGTTAGAAACATCGATGAGAGAGAGTCATCAATCAGCTGCCTTTTGCACACCCCCCATAGGGGATATGCCCGCAACCAAGGTACATGCCCTTGATCGGAATCAAACTCGGGACCCTTCAGTCCCCAAGCCGACGCTCTAGCCACTGAGCCAAACCGGTCTCGGCTGTTCTGTTGGATTTTAAATGTATGTTTCTTTTTCTTGTTAAAGATATGTCCTTCCTAATTATTTTATGCTGAGACCAATAGTAGAATAAATATGCAATCCCTAAGAGCGTACAAGTCACACGCTAGGTAGGGAAAGAAAAGAAGACAGGCATTTGTTACAGAAAACCCACACACAATACACATAAATCAGCCCTGCCAGTTAAGGCCATATTCAGTTCCGTTTGCACAAGGCAGATAGCACAGAAAGAAGGCTAGTCCTCCAACCTTATTTGCCAAGTGTCTTCCTCTCTCCCTTTTGCACTATTTCTCTGTAAAAAAGACAAAAATGCTAGAAGATCAGATGGTGCCAAGACCTCTTCTCGGCAAAGTGCCAAAAGAGGGCTATGGGTTGAGGAAAGGAAGAGGAGAAAAGAGAATCAGACAAACCACATACATAAAATAACTCCCGTGGAAGTGATGAAAGACCCAAAAAGGCGCTTGTGATGTGGCCCTCCCCCAAACAATCTCATGCTCAGACACGGAAGAGGAATGTACTCATTCTTACCACCCATCTGTCTACGGATGTAAATGGAGCAAACACCAGCTAGCTCATATACTGGGAAGATTAAAGGAAATCTACTTACTAAACATTTATATACTACTTACTCTGTGCCAGGCCCATTGCGTTTTACAAATGTTAGCACAGTTAATCCTCCCCACCGCCCTATGGGGTAGATTTATCCTGATTTCACAGATGGGGGAACTGAGGCACAGAGAGAACAAAACTTGCTAGACTGTTGCCAGTAAATACCTGACAGAACCTGGATTCAAATCTAAGCAGGCTGGTCTGAGCCCACGCTGGGTTCTTTTAGCTGTTGTTTTTGTTTTTTTATGGATTTCAGAGAGGAAGGGAGAGGGAGGGAGAAACAGTAACATCAATTATTCAAGAGAATCATTAATCTGCTGCCAACTGCATGCCCCTCACTGAGGATGGAGCCTGCAAGGCTGCAACCCGGTTGTGTCCTGACCCGGAATCAAACAGTGACCTCCTGGTTCATAGGGGGGTGCTCAACCACTGAGCCACACCGGCTGGGCTGAGCCCATACTCTTTAGCACCCCCTACGACGCCTCTCAGATAACCTGGCCCCTCATGCAGGGGCTGTTCTGTGGAGGCCTCCAGGAATGGTTGCTAACTCCTCCTCATCCTTACTTCTGTTATACAACCCATTACTGATCTTCTGAGAAGCTTTCTGCAACTAACAAACACCATCCACTACCCAGAACGTTAACTTACGCCCAAGCTCTCCTGCCTCCATCCGCTGACTGGCATGAGCAGGCAGCCCCAGGCTCCAGCAGGAGATGCTTGCCAGGGAAGTTCCTGATCCGGTGTGTGAAGGGGGGCTTGGCCGGGCTGGTTCCCTTCCAACACAGAGACCTTTGGGACTTGTCTGGGGGGATGGGCTGTCCGTCCCTGGGCAGAGGTGTCAGAGCTGTCAGAGTCAGACCTCAGTTCCAAGGAGACCCGTGAGGTTATCACGGGGTGGCTGGAGCATGGGCGGCTGCAGTATGAAGAACCTTCAACTGCGTGAGACCGGGACAGGCTTAATTCCAAATCTTACCATTTACTTCCAACTACCACCTCATTAAAAAAATAATAAAAAAAATAAAAAGCCCTAGCCTGTTTGGCTTGGTGGATAGAGCGTCAGCCTGCGGACTGAAGGGTCCCAGGTTCGATTCCAGTGAGAAGCATGTACCTTGGTTGTGGGCACATCCCCATTAGGGGGTGTGCAGGAGGCAGCTGGTGGATGTTTCTATAATAACTCTCTATCCCTCTCCCTTCCTCTCTGTAAAAAATCAATAAAATATATATTTAAAATAAAAGCATTTTGCCCTGGCCGGTTTGGCTCACTGTCAGCCTGGGGATTGAGGGGTCTCAGGTTGGATTGCTGTCAGGGGCACATGCCTGGGTTGTGGGCTCGATCCCCAGTAGGGGGCGTGCAGGAGGCGGCTGATCAATGATTCTCTTTCATCATTGATGTTTCTCTCTCCCCTTCCCTTCCATAAGCACTTTGGGGTTAGTGTTTCAAGTCAGACAGCAACTCAGGGGGCTCTGTTCACTCTACTAAATGGGAAGCGGAAGCTGGAGAGGCCGCACCGCTCTCGCCAGGGCGGTCAGTGCTCCCACAAGCTCCCCTCCCGCCGGCTGCACCCCGCCCGCACCACCCGGAGACTCACCCTGAGGGGCCCGCACGGTGTTAGGGTCAGGGGTGAGGACTGTACATGGCTCACTGCCTTTCAGTTCCGGGACAGAAACCTCGCCTCAAAGAACTTGAGTCACTAACCGCAGCCACCGGCCGGAAGTCACCACCCCAGCGTCCTTAACGAGCCCGAGAACAGCGGTTCCGAGAGCCCGCGGGCGCGCGGACTACAACTCCCGGCATGCTCTGGGGCGGCGGAGTTAACCCCTCAGGGCCCGCGGCCGCCCAGTGCCCCGCCTCCGTCCCTCACCTGGATCCTGCAGGGTGAGTTTTGTAGGGCTGCGAACGGACTGTCCCCTTTACTTAAGTCGTGTGTGTGTGTGTGTGTGTGTGTGTGTGTGTGTGTGTGTGTGTGTGTGTGTGTGTAATGTATTCTAGAGAAATGATGCTGATTTTCCTGAAATGGGACAATTTGCAGTATTGCGTTTCAGACGTTTTTTGGGTGTTTTTGTTGTTGTTGTTGTTGGTTTTTTGCAAGTGGAAGACAGCAGCTATTTTCTGAACCACCGGGCCTAAATGGAATCCCTACTCTCTTCCTCAGAAAGCTACCTAATCCACCCCTTTCTCCCCAGAACAAAAGTAGCCAGCAACCCCTCCCCTCTCCCTAAGGCCGCTGACTTGCACCCTTCTCCTGCGCCCCCAGTGAGGCTTGTAATCTGGCACCTGCACCGAGGTTTTTGTTATCTCTCCGGTTGGGGAGCGAAAGAGGGGTGTGTACTCCTGGAGCCCACAGGACCTCCCACCTCCTTTAGGATTAGAGATTTCAGAATTTAGGCCCTTTGTCTGTCAGAGCCTGCCCTTCCCCTCAGGGTGCCCCCGTGGAATCCCTGCAGACTCAGCTGGCTCGCTACCTTTGTCTGATTTTAATGGCTGGTGGTGTGAAGAAAGGGCTTCTTCCTTGGGAGTGTGAGTGGTGGGTGTCAAACTGGTGGTTGCCCCACCCCCACCCCTAAAACTGCATGGCACCGGAGCCAGTGGGTGCGGGTCACAGTCAGTTTTCTATTACTGTCCTTTCTCTGTATTGTGCACAGCTCCAGTTCTGGGCTGGGAGGGAGGAAGACAGTAATTACAAGTATTGGGGATTACTAGGCTGCTCGGGGTCAGCTAACGCCCCCTCCTCATCCATGGTCAGAGGGGAGTGGTGAGGATGCTGGTTTTTTTCACCCTTTCTCTGCCCCCAGATTCCACTGAACTATTTCAGTTCACAAGCTCCCCCACCCTTCTGCCTCATCTTCCAAGAGTCTAAAGCTGCTAGAAAAAGGGGCTACTCTGAGTCAAGGTGTTGAGGGCCTGGAATTGTTGGATTCCCTTCTTTGCTTCACCCCTATTGCTAGTGTCACTAGCAAGCATCCTGTCCTCCCTGAGAGATTAATTCCTCCATTCTGGGCAGTCTCTGTGTTTTTTCTTTCCTTTTCCATGGCCCCTAAAGGGGCCATTGTTCTGGCCAGCCTTTGGGGCAGGGCAGACAGGAGGGAGAAGACCTTGGGGCAGGAGTCCTGAGCCACAGGAGGCCAGGGGAGTGAGAGCAGGCCGGCCTATCTCTCCTCTGTTTCACCCTCCCCACCGCCAACTGGCTTCCTGCCTCTGCTCCCGCCCCTTAACATCCCAGACTCCCTGGCTATTTAAACAGAGATGGGTGCCCCCATCGGCACACTGTCCTCTGGCCACCCGACACCATGCCTCCCAAGAAGGATGTTCCCGTGAAGAAACCAGCCGGACCCCCTCTCGCCAAGACTGCTCCCAAGCCGGCAGCGGGGGCTCCCCCAGCCAAGTCCAAGGCTGAGCCAGCGGCAGCGGCCCCTTCAGGCCCCGAGAAAACCTGGGAGCCCCCCATGGATCTCTCCAAAGTGGTGGTGAGTGCTGGGAAGTGAAGAACGAATGTGGAGGGGGTGGTTCCAGGGTGGGACAGCCTCGGGAGTGAGGAGGTGTCTAGAAGGTAGGAATCAGTGGGCACTGGGATGATACTGGGGTTCCTCGTGGCCCATCCTTCGGAAGCATCCGAGCTCACGACTCTGCTAGTATCTTTGTTGTCCCCCCCACTAACCTGTAACACACGTGTGTGCGTACACCCGCACACACACCCTGACTCACCTGCTGGTGGCAGGGGCTGGGAGATGGGGAACATCTGGGTTCCCAGGACGGTTTCAAGGTGAAGGGAGTGAGCTGCCGCCTGGGTTGAGCTGACTGTCCAGCTCTAAAGGCCACATCGCTGCACCCCAGCAGGGGAGGCGAAAGAGGACAGACTTGTTAGACAATCACAGCTGGGGGCCAGGAGTAAATTTAGCTTTTGTTCAGCCCCCAGTTATGTGAGGGATGCAGGGCGCAGGGCAGTGGAGGGAGGGGAACAGGTGGCATGGGATTAACCCTGCTCCTAGGAAACCCTCCCCCCTGATAATTCCTCCTCTGGGATTCTCCCAAAGTCCAGATCTGGGAATGGGACTGAGGTGGCTGGGCGCCCCTCCCCAGAAGTCGCTGGCAGTTGGTTGGGAGGAATTGAACGAGCCCTGTGACCCCTCCTCACCTGCTCTTTTCTCCCACAGATCCAGTTTAACAAGGACCAGCTGGAGGGTGAGGAGAAGCTGGTCCCCTGAGCCCACTGTCTAGACCACATGTGTCAAACACAAGGCCCGCGGGCCAAATCCGTCCCGCCAGGCCTTGCAATGTGGCCCGCACCGCGCTGTCATCACTGCACTCCGCTGCGTTTCCATCACAATGACAGTTTATGACTGTTCAGTAAACCATTCGGCCCGTGATTTAGGCTGGATTTTAGATTTTGGCCCCTTCTCTGATTGAGTTCGACACCCCTAGTCTAGACCCAAGCCCCTGGTCAGATTCTCTTTCTCTTCCCCTATTCCTGTCCTGACCGTGAAACCCCCCACCCTCGCCCCCCGTCCTGCCCAGCGCTAACACATCATTCCTGATCTTCTTCTCTGTCTGGGGGTGATGGGACCCCTGGTCAACACCGGCATCTCTCTATCCTTCAGAGTTCAAGGAGGCCTTTGAGTTGTTTGACCGAGTGGGGGATGGCAAGATCCTGTACAGCCAGTGTGGAGACTTGATGAGGGCCCTAGGCCAGAACCCCACCAACGCCGAGGTCCTCAAGATTCTGGGGAACCCCAAGAGCGATGGTGAGGGGACCGCTGGTACAGTGGGGGTTTTCAGTTTGGTGATGGAACAGAGGAGTGTTGGTAAGGTGACAAAAGATGCTGAGGTGGGTCTCATGACTTCAAACACTGTCAACCCAGGGGCAGAAAGACATCCTGATCGTGGAACAGGGTCAAAGCCTTGGTGGCTGGGATGGGAGCTGGGTCCTCGGTGACACCACAGTGACCTCTCCCTCACCTCTCGTCCTCCAGAGCTGAAGTCCCGGCGTGTGGACTTCGAGACCTTCCTGCCCATGCTCCAGGCCGTGTCCAAGAACCGCGACCAAGGCACCTACGAAGACTACCTGGAGGGGCTCCGAGTGTTCGACAAAGAAGGGAACGGCAAGGTCATGGGAGCGGAGCTCAGACATGTCCTCACCACCCTGGGTGAGGCCCAGACCGGAACTGTGGGGGGGAGGGGAGAGAGTGGACCAAAGAGAAGGTCCGAGGAGGAGGAGCCAGGGAGGGATTACGGCCCTGGAGGTCATGGGCAGGAGACTGAGAAGGTCAGAGCGGTGGGGGCAGAACCCAAAGGACTTCTTCCTGCAGAGGCTAACGTGAGAAGGGGCACAGATGCCTCCCAAAGGGCAGGGGAGCTGAAACCGGTTTGGCTCAGTGGATAGAGCATCGGTCTGTGGACTGAAAGGTCCCAGGTTTGATTCCGGTGAAGGTCATGTACCTTGGTTGCGGGCACATCCCCGGTAGGGGATGTGCAGGAGGCAGCTGATCAATGTTTCTCTCTCATAAATGTTTCTACCTCTATCCCTTCCTCTCTGTAAAAAATCAATAAAATATATATTTTTTAAAAAGGGCAGGGGAAGGGGAGAGGTGGGAGACCTGAGATTCCCCTTTGGAAGAGATGCTGGTTCTCTGTGATCTGGTACTCTCTCTTAACTCTCTGGAACTTAATTTCATTGTCAAAGCTTCCGCCTGGTGCTGATGCAGGGAAATGGAAAGCAAGATGCAGAAGCACACCCAAGGCGGCATCACCGTTACATAAGGAGAGGGTTCCTTTGGCGTTCTCTTGCTACGGGCACAGCTCCAGGGTGGGAAGAGGGGAGGCTCCACACAGAACAGGGTGGCCTGGTTGGTCAGGGAGGGAAGACAGCGGCTAACACCTTGTGTCTGGGGCTCAGGAGAGAAGATGACTGAAGAGGAGGTGGAGACAGTTCTAGCAGGACATGAGGACAGCAATGGCTGCATCAACTATGAAGGTGAGGGGCGGAAGGGACAGGGGAGGAGGCCACGGTGTGCGGTGTGGGCAGCCCGGGGCCTGTGTTATCTGGGGTCGGCCGGCTGGCCCCGCCTGCTCTGAAGCCCCTCTCGCTCCCCCCGCAGCCTTCCTGAAGCACATCCTCAGCGTGTGAGCTCCAGGTAGGCCCTCCTCGCGGCCCCTCCCCTCCGCCTGGGCACAGAAGCCGGGAGCTGCGCTTTCCTGTTCCTCGTATGAGTGCTGGGGTTTGGCAACTTCTCCTGTTTCTCCACAGATGCCGTGGGGTCGGACACCGGTCCTCCCGCAGGCGGAAGCATGTTCCTACCACTAGGAGGCCACCTATTGTTTCAAAATAAAGACACGGTTCCTCCCTTCGCCTCCGACTGCTGCTTTCTTCACACGTGGGGGTGGGAGGGCGGGGAGCAAGGGCTCTCCTCTTCCCCATCGTCATCCTCGGTCTTCCCGCCGCTCGGAAGAGCAGATTCCCCGCGCGCCCCCGCTCCCCTCTACGGCGGCTGCTGGGCCCCCGGCGGGGCTCCGGGGGAGGGGGCGGCGGCGGCCCCGCCCGCCTCATTACTAATGCAGCGAGTCATCTGCATAAGCGCAGGCCCGGAATCCCATTGGCTGGGCCCGCGGGTGACGTCATCGGGCCGTCCGAAGACTAGGGCTGGGCCGGGAGCCGGAGCCATTACCGCAGGAACGGGTCCCGCAGAGCTCGGCAGCCAAGATGGTGGGGCCCGGGCCTGCGGGGATGAGCGGGGTTTGGGGCGAGAGGCGGGGAGTTGGGGGGACGCGGAGGCGCGGAGGCGGCTGAGGTGGGGGGCGAAGGGGACCCGAGGGCCGGAAGTGCGGGTGTTGTCCGGCTGGGAGCGGAGCTCGGGGCTGTGTGCGGGCTGGGCTGGAAGCTCGGGCGGGAGTTCCGCTGCTGACCGCCCCCTCTTCTCCGAGCAGTGCGACTTCACCGAGGACCAGACGGCAGGTAGGTGCCGACCCCTCCGCCTGAGCCCCACCTGTCATCTCCTCGCGCCCCCGGGGCTCCCCCCGGTTCCCGCCCCTCCCTCTGGAGCCTCCATTTTCCTTTCTCACTCTTCCTCCTCCCTCTCCTTCCACTCCAGATGTGAGCCCCACGCCCTGGGTGAGTTGTAGGTGTGTGGGCGTGTGGAACAGCCGCCTGCCTGCTGGGGGGAGAGGGGGGATGTCGGGGAGGGTGTGTGAAGCTGCCTGGGCGCCTCAGACCTTAACCAGCTTCTTCTGCCTCTTCCCCCCCTGACCCTCCTGCCCTCCCCCGCTTGGAACTGTGAGGGCTAAAAATGAGTGACCTGCTGCTTTGTGAAAAATGGGGACAGAAAACCGGGGCAGGGGAGTTTGCTGAGGGCACTTCCGCCGAAGGGCAGGGTGGGCAGCGGCCGCGATGACCCCCGCCCCGGCCGCGCTCCCGCTTCCTTATAAGGCCGCGCGGCCTGGGCGGCGGCGCATTCCTGCCCGGCGCCGGGAGGGGCGGGGCGGGCCGGGCGGCGGGGGAGGGTGTGTAGATGGTGTGACTCCCGCCTGGGGGGGAGCAGGCTGTGTCTTGACGTGGGATACCTGGGTTGGAGTAACGGACACTGGGTCTGTCCCTCTCAGCGGACCTGGGTGTACAGTGGGATAAATATCCGGTTTCCTTAGCATGATTAAAGTTGAATGGGCAACGGACACCGTGAGGGCTTGGTTTAACCCCCATATGCCCAGAGCTGATGTTTATCTGAATCCTCAGAGTTCAAGGAGGCCTTCCAGCTGTTTGACCGGACAGGGGATGGCAAGATCCTGTACAGCCAGTGTGGGGACGTGATGCGGGCCCTGGGCCAGAACCCCACCAACGCCGAGGTGCTCAAAGTCCTGGGGAACCCCAAGAGTGATGGTGAGGGTCCTCCAGAACAACGCCCCAGTATGGTAGGGGGCCAGGTCTTCAGCTAAGCGCCTCCTTTGTCTCAGTAGGTCCCAAACTCAAGCAGGTCTTGTCTCAACTTGCAAATCCCAGGGATTTCTGCTGCTTTGAGTGGGAGCAGTCTGGTTGTGACCCTGTGACACCCCCAGTTCTGAGAACTTGTGTGACTTCCCTTCTGCCTCCTTTACGGCAGAGATGAACGTGAAGGTGCTGGACTTTGAGCACTTCCTGCCCATGCTGCAGACGGTGGCCAAGAACAAGGACCAGGGCACCTACGAGGACTACGTCGAAGGCCTTCGGGTGTTCGACAAGGAGGGGAACGGCACCGTCATGGGTGCTGAGATCCGGCATGTTCTCGTCACACTGGGTGAGGCTCTGCCCTTTCTCCTTGAGCTGAGGAGCCCCCTGACAGCTGCACTGGTCAGAAAGTTCCCACAATGCCCTTTCTTCCCCTCTGCAGGGGAGAAGATGACAGAGGAAGAGGTAGAGATGCTGGTGGCAGGGCACGAGGACAGCAATGGTTGTATCAACTATGAAGGTGAGGGACAAATGGAGGCAGCAGCCATTTGGGGCAGGACAAGTACAGTTTGGGGCTTTCCCTGTCCCTGGACTTGGGCTTCAAAAAGTGCCCAGCAAGAGGCAGGGCCCTGCCCAGCCCAGGAGTGGGAGGCCAGGGGTGTGTGACAGGAGAGGAAGGGGCAATGAAAGTGGTGTGAAGGGTGGGAAGGAATGGGAAGTAAAGTAAATGGAATGTCTATGTCCCCACTGCCTGACCCCCTCACCCCATGTGTGTGTCTTGTCTTCACCATTAATGTCTCTTCCTTCCTGCAGCATTTGTGAGGCATATCCTGTCGGGGTGACGGGCCCGTGGGGCGGGTACGGCTCCTCCCAGCCTCCCCTTTTCTAGTTGATCCCCCCAGTGTTTCTCTTCCCCACCTTGCTCTCTGGCCCCTGCCCTGCCCCTACTACCATCTGACTTCTGGCATGTTTCTGCATGGAGCTGACCGGGGAAGGGAGGGTCCTCAGAGGAAGACAGCCTGGGGGTGTGGTACCTCCTCCTAGAGTGGGCCCTGAAGTTCTACTTCTAGGGCCTTGGGTGCTGGTGCCGGGAACCCTGACACCTGTCCCGTCCTGCTTTAGGGTGATCCTTTGGCCCTGGAGCAGCGGTGGTTGGCACAGGGGGTGGGTTGCCTGCCCCATTGTAGCTGAACAGTTGCCTGCTGTAGCTGAACAGTTCTTCCCTTCCTTCTGCTGGGCAGCTTGGAGGTACCCTAACCCAAAATTCTGTCTTCTCCTGCCAGTGGCTGACAGTAGCTTTAGGTGTAGCTACGAACTTTTCTGCCTCTGCTGTGTTCTTGCTGCTCAGGGTGGGGTGGGAACTAACAGCTCGTGGGAGGGGAGCTGGGGGCCTAGAGAACTGCTCAGACTCAAGGTGACTGACTCCTCTGCAAACTGACCCCAAGGTTGGTTGCTGCAGGCATGTCTCTGATATGCCACCTTTGTGGTCTTCATGGTCTCCTGGCCCCCGGTGGTCCCCTCCCGTGGGCCCTGCCCCCGGTTTATACTCTCTCCTTTCCACAGAGCTCGTCCGGATGGTGCTGAATGGCTGAAGACATTCCCAATGTGCCCAGAGCCTGTGCCTTCCCCTGTGTGAGTCTGTATTAGCCCCGAAGGCTTCCTGAGTTCTGTCACAGCACTTCCCCAGCTTGTATCTCTTGGATGACATTTGCCATCAGCATTCACCAAATAAACTCATTTTCTGTGCCCTAAATGTGGTTATTTTACTTCCTGAGCAGGGTGACGGGGGGAGAGTCCAGGATCAATGGACCAGGGGCTGGGGAGGGCCTGTAGGAGCCCTGGCCTCACTGAAGAAATGCTGACCACATTCATTGCTGCTAAAAAGGCCCCTTGGGGATGAGGAAAGACATAAATCTCTAGGGCCACGGCTGGCCGGCTTTGTTCCAGGCACTTCAGACCGAGTCCTCACCTAGCACTCCAGCTCCCTAAATCCAGCGCTGACCCCCCCAGCACTGCAGACTGTTTATTGGAGCTAACGCCAGACCACACTGGCACTGCCAGAGCCTTCACCCAGCAGGGCTAGGGGCCAATAACAGAAGGAGCGAGGTGACCGCCTTCTCCCTGCCTAATAAGGGAAGAAATGAAACCACTACTTCTGAAAGGTAAATAAACAAGGTCTCCTGGTTGAGGATGTCCTTCCAAGCCTTAAACAGCTATTCTGGGGGCAGGTGAGAGCCTCTCAGTGCACAGCCTGACAGCTGCGCTGCCTCTGGCTGCGGGAGGCCCAGCGCCTCTCCGGCCTGAGTGAGCCGACGCCCCGGGAAGAACTCCAGCAATGATGCCCCAGCCCGACCCCACTGCTGACAGCCACAGGTCAGAGAACACACAGCATCCACAAGATAAAACCGAAAGCAAATTAATTTATAAAAAAGAAAAAGAAAGAAAAAAAGAGAATTTACAGAAACCTTTTGAACAGAAGGAAGGTGCCAAGATGCAGAGAAGAAACATGGGAACAAAGGGCCTGGTGGGCGGGGCTGGGGGCCGGTGGGGAGCCTGGAGTCACATCTGCCTGCACACGGAGGGTGAAGGGGAGAGCTGGTATGTGAGGCACTGGGATCTGGGGAGCTGAGCTGAGCTGCCAGCTGGGGCCAGCACTAACCGAGGTTGGGCATCCCTACCCCTACTGTCTCCAAACCCCAGGGAAACCCTAGCCACCAGTCAAGGCTCTGATGGTCTTGGTAGAGGAGGGAAGAGGTGATGGGGATGATTCACTGAGTCGTAAGAAAGAGTGCTTAAGTGCTTTTTGAAAATCTCAGGTTTTCAAAACTTTCCATCTTCTAGCTGCCCTCTCCAGGTCTTCCGGGAGTCCACTGAGAAAGCCAGGAGGAAGGAGAGCCCCAATGCCCTGCCTTCCTCTGTATCTGCCACAGGAATCTCCAAAAATAGGTTTCCCCACCAAATACACATACGCTGACAACTACATCGCTGACTTAAAAACACAAAAACTGACATTGAGAGGGAAACGGGTCATTGGCGGAGCTGGGGTGGCCTAAAACAGCAATACTGCGGAAGCAGCGGGCGAGGTTAGCAGGGACAAACGGGGTGGGTGGCTGAGGGGGTTCTGAGTTGACTTAGTTACTACCGAGGGGCTGAGGAGACAGGTTCTGCATCCTATTTTATCCCCAGAGCTCCCTCCAGAATGTTAATTATCCTTTCCTAAAATGGTCACCTCCCTCCTCCGAGAAATGTAAAAGTTGGATTTTTTTTTTTTAATGGGGGAGGGAGCTCCAATGCAGCTTGAAAAAAAAAATCTCTTTCCTTTAAAAGGGCTTAATTTTTTTCATCCATAAAAAAATGCTTTCTTTTTGAGGGGGTGTACCCTCCAAAGTGATTAATTAGAACCTTGTATAAATACCTTCCCCCAGTCCTT